TACAGATCGAACCCCTACTGCCTATGGACCTACGACAGACCTACCAACTATCTGCGAATACACAGGTCACAGGTTCAATTCTCGGGATCTATACAGATACTGTACATAGGCAGGGTGAGGTCTAGGGATCGAACCCTGGGTACTGCATCCRCTACTGCTAAAAGGTGAAAACCGTTTCACTCCCGCCGTCCTAAATTCGAGGTCCTCCGAGAACATTTCAGCCCAAGGCGGGACATTTACCTTTCTTGTCACGTTCATAGGCTCTAACTATGTCGGGAGCGGTTTCTAGAAGTTCTGTTTTCGTGAACCAGCGGTCGTCTTCCGGTTCTTGATAAGCAAAACGGACCTTATATTGTTTCTGGGGACGACCTCTACCTCCTGTTCTGAACACATCCTCATCTACAACGCCTTCAATGTCATAACTCCCATCCATATCCGGGGGGATCATGGATCTTCTCGAAGGGAACTGTTGACTTGTGACACACGGCAGCAGCTTTGAAGCATGAAACACAAGGTATGTGTGGAGGTGTGCTGGAATCTCAATGCTATAGGACGGTCCATCCTCTCCGCCCTTGACTTCTAGAACCGGCCACGGTCCTCTATATGCGGGCAGTAACTTCTGCGAGATGTTTTCCTCAGGTGGAAACTCTTTAGCCTTGACCCAGACTAAGTCGCCTACCTGAAACTGCGACGGGCGGCGGTGCTTATTAGCTTGCTCTATCATCCTATGCTGGGCCTTCCTGAGGTTTTCAACAATAGTGGCTAGTTCTTTCTCGTGCTGTATCGCAAACTCCCTGGTACCGGGCGGTAATCTGTGAATCTGATCCCGGTTCAGTCCTTCGAACGGTCTGCGTGGTCTAAAGGACTTGTGCAACTCATTGGGAGTGCGGCGGGTGGATAGATGCACGCTGTTGTTGTATGCACTAGCTACCTTAGGCAACATCTCATCCCAGTTGATCTGATCTGGTCTAATGTACATGCACAGAACTTGCTGTAGGATCTTGTTCATCTGTTCTGTCTGACCGTTAGTCTCTGGGTGACGGCCAGATGACATTAGCAACTTAGATCTGTAAACTCTCATGAGTTCTTGCCAGTTCTGGCTGGTGAAACGACTATCTCTATCACTAACTATTGACAATGGGATTCCATTCTCACTAACCCAAAAGTCAAAAAACTTTTGTATAACTAAGTCCGTACGTGCCTCTGCAGGCAAAGGAACGAAAACTGCATATTTGCTAAAGCGGTCAACTACGACCATGACTTGGCTCTTACCATGTCTACTCTTGACTTGGGTGTCCATGAAGTCTATGGACACGGAGTCTCCCGRCTGATCCGGRATRKGCAAGGGTMTGARAAGACCTAGGGGCGCGCRTGTMGTAGACTTATTCCTMTGGCACACTTYACAACTKCGGACATACTCTATGCAGTCATTCTTCATCCCTGGCCAGGTATACGCACGCATCAGGTTGGCTAATGTCTTTTGCCAACCGAAATGCCCTTCAGTATCGTGGCATTCCCCTAAAATCAAACTGCAGATCTCTTCGCTGTTGGGAACGCACAGGCGGTCAAACACATTAGTCTTCTCAAACAGCAACCCGTCTGTAGTGCGGTAATCTGGTTCAGTCTCTGGGGCCTCTCTAACTCTCTTTAGGAGGTCGCTATAAATAGGGTCCTACGCATATGCTTGCCTTACTTTCTCCTGCAGGTCTCTCCCTATATCCAGATAGTGTACTACGGCTCCAAAGTAGTCTGATCTCCTACTCAGAGCATCTGCAACTACGTTGTATTTGCCCTTCACTGGCTTGAGCTCAAAGTCGAATTGGTCTATCTCTGCGGCCCACCTAGTCAACTTAGGTGTCATCTTGGCCTGTGTCTTTAACCAACGAAGTGTCTCGTGGTCAGAATACACTTTGAAGTGCCTCCCAAGCAGATAGTGCTTCCAATGGTCTAAAGCCTGCCTGAGAGCGTAGAGTTCTCTCTCGTACGTGGAGGTAGTGACCTTCTCACAGGGCATCCTCGCTGACATGAACTCTACGGATCTATAGCCATTGCTGTCGTCTTGCTGCAACACGACGCCTATCCCATACTGACTTGCATCCGTGGTAACGACAAATGGCAAGGACGGATCTGCTACTTTGAGGACGAGATATTATATTAACGCGCGCTTTARCTTCTTGAGCGCAGACGTACAGTCTTTGTCCCATTGCCAGATTGCGTCTTTCTTTAGCAGTCTGCGCAAGGGGGCGGCGATAGTGGAGAAGTTCCTCACGAACTTCCTATAGTAGTTAGCTAAGCCTAGGAACGACCGCAACTCTGTCAATGTGCGGGGCGTCGGCCAGTCTCTAATCGCCGCTATCTTGCTGTCCTTTGGCTTAATGCCATCTTCGCCCAAGTACAAAACTTGTGTCTTGGCCCACTCACACGTCTTTGCGTTGATCTTGAAGTTAGCCTCTCGTAGTTTCTCCAAGACCTGCCTCAGATGATCCTGGTGCTCCTGGAGGGTCTTACTAAAAACTAGGATATCATCTAGATAGTCTACTACAGACTTATCTAACCACGGTCTAAACAGGTCGTTCATACAACGCTGGAAGGTAGCTGGCGCGTTGGTTAGTCCAAAGGGCATCACTATGAACTCATAGTGCCCGTATCTAGTCCGGAATGCAGTCTTGTACTGGTCATCAGGATGGACTTCTATCTGATGGTATCCGGACTTCAAGTCTATTTTGGAGAAATACTTGCAACCCTGCACCCGATCTAAGAGATCGTCTATCCTGGGCAGTGGCTCAGCATTCTTTACAGTAATCGCATTCAAACCCCTATAGTTTATATACATTCTCAACTCTCCTTCCTTCTTGGGGACAAACAAAACGGGTGCTCCAAAAGGAGACAAACTGGGCCTGATCCAACCTTTCTCAAGGAGATCGTCTAACTGCTTGCGAAGCCCCTCTAACTCTCTAGGGGACATCCTGTAGACTGCACCCTTAGGAGTTCTACTGCCAGGCTCTATCTCTATCCTGTGCTGGATGGGTCGCGACACTACTCCTCTCGGCGACTCAGTCAAGTCTTTGAATTCTTCCAGCAGCTTGGCAATTGTTGGATCTGTGGAACTATCCTTTTCCTGGGCCTCCGTGACAGGTCTGACATAAACTACAAAGACCTGGTCTTCTAACTGCTCCTTCTTTACTAATCGCGCGAATGCGGGAGCACTGAGACAGCAATGTGCCAAGGTGTTATCTACATCAGACACATGGAACAAGCGGGCAGTCTTAACCTCGCCCGACGGGCTAGGGAGCCTACACTCATGCTCTCTCAAATGAAGTGTGGCCCCTGCTGCCTCTCCCCAATCCATTCCTAACACTATATCGAAATCAAGGTCATCCTGCACGAGGAGAGTCAAAGAATGGAGGACCTTCTCCGCTTTTCCTTTCTTCTCTAGGCGAAAGTACGCCTGGACTCCCTCTACGTAGTCCTCAACGCGCATCGTGCGGTTGTCTGCGAGGACACTGACTATGGGGTCTACTAGTTTCTGGACCTTTAGTCCTAGCCTCAGCTTCTTCAGCGCCCTTCGGCTAATGTAACTACGGGTAGCCCTTGAGTCTATAAGGCCCCTACTCTACTTCTGAACACCTCTACATCTACCAGAATCAGTTGTCCCTTACTCTCCCTTTTCATTTTGGCCCAGGTTGGCATTCTCTCTTTTAACTTTTCTGCCACACCTGTGAGGGACGTGCCTAAAGAGACGCTAACACAAGCAGTCTCTGGACAGTTATCTAGGCACGGCCTGCAACCTCTGCCATAGGCTCATGTGGGTTGGGAGTGTCCTGTTCGCGCGCGCTCACTTCTCCACATGGCCCGGAAGTAGGGGCAGTTGCGACCCCTACTGGCAGCTGCCTTTTGACTGCTGAGCAGCCCAACGGGCCTGTCTATACTTTGGACAAAATTTTATTACGTGCGCCGGGTCACCACAGAATACGCACTGACCCATGTTCACGCGTTCCTGCCATAAGCGCTGGTCCAAGCCCAAGTCTTCCCAGGGCCTGCCCTGCGGCAAGCCTGGATGCCATCCTCCTTGAGGTGCCCTTCCACCTCCTCGCTGTGGGACCGGTTACCCTGGCGATTTAAYGGGGGACCTTGACCCCTACCTCCCTCTTGGCGGTTTCCCTGTCCGCCAACCCCCTGTGCGCCCGGTCCTCGGCCTCCCATGGCCTGGCCCCTTTGGCCCTGGCCTCCTCCTCTACCTTGCGGCCTCCCTCCGGCCGCGACAGCAGCGTAAGACCTCCCCTGCCCTACACTACTGTACTACTCTCCTAGGCCCCACTCAATCTGATCATATGGGACCTCTTCTGTACCACCCTCTTCTAATGTCAGGATCAAGTGATCCTTAGCCTTGACTTGGCCCGAGATGGTACGATCTTTCCACTTCTTCCCCTTCTCCAGGTCCTTATGCCAGAAAGTGGTAACTGGCATAGACTTCGACTCATACAGGACGACTTCTCTACTCAACGCATCGTAAGTCATGTCGGCCTGTTGAGATTTGTCAAAGAAATGCCCGCGTAGGGCTTCTGGAATGGCACGATAAAACAACTGGACCAGCTGGGGCTCAGTGACCCCGTGGTCCGGGAC